ATAAGAGGAAAAAAAGAGAAATCATAATTCATGATACACAGTGTTCATAGAGTCACTTACTGTAACTGTTGACATCAATCTCATCAGGCAACTCGGTGATGTTGACTTCAAAACGATCTTGAACGGAATTAAGAACTTGAGCATCAGTTTTCTCAGAGACAAACGTGATAGCAAGACCTTTGGTTCCAAACCTACCTGCCCTAGCAACCTAAAATAAAATGAAAATGTTAAAAACAAAAAATTAATAAAATAAAATTCACAGTAAAATACAAAGACAATGTTTTAGTTACTGTGGCTTACTCTGTGGAGGTAGGTATCACTGTCCTCAGGCATATCATAATTAAAGACAATGTTGACTCTTTCAATATCCATCCCACGACCAAACAGATCAGTAGCTACCAGAATACGCTTACTGAACCCTTTGAATGCCTGATACTTGGCCAATCTAAAATTTAAAAAAAACATTATAACAATAGAAAAATAAAAATAGTCAATAAAATAATAAAAGACAATATTGAAGTATTGTATTTTTGTCACTAGCATGGTTACTCTCTCCAATTAATGCCCACTAGGAGCTATGGAAGGACCAGGAATATGTTATTGCCTGCTCAGCTTATCTTAGGTAAGACAGCGGCAGTACTAATTTTTATTAAAAATGAATTATAAAACAGGAAGTGAACTGCTGCTAATTAATTTTTATTAAAAATGAATTATGAAACAGGAAGTGACCTGCTGCTAATTAATTTTTATTAAAAATGAATTATGAAACAGGAAGTGAACTGCTGCTAATTAATTTTTATTAAAAAGATTTATTAAATGCATTAATACATAAAAGTCATAAAATGGCACTATGCTGAATAAAAAATAATTATTCATAACCACAAACTCAAATAAAAATAATTAAGATCAATAAATAGTATTCATTCACTTCTCTTACCTGGCATGGCACATTACAAGAACAGAGACTTGTCAGTCTATATGGTTCCTCTTAGCTGCTGACCACGCCTTCTTTGCCCGAGAGCTACCGAATGACATCATCACTTTGGAGGGATTAGGATCAGTCACTGGAGTATCAGTTTTACCTGTAGAGATCAAGCACATAAAGAGACATGTATCAACTGTTTGCCTGTTATCCATGTACATGTACAAATTAATGGGCAGGAGGCCATCACTCAAAATAATTTTGCAATTTTTTTGCAAATGGCTGATTTTCAAAATGGTCATAACTCGAAGAAATTAAGTCGGAATCAGCTCAAACTTTCTACATAGCATAAAGACATCAATAT